ACATTTTTTTTTTCCACTTTATTATACCATCAACCTCAAGGTTGCGCATTCAAGCCTCACTCTCAACAATATTATCATCACCCCTTCTACCAATGATAACCTCATCAACATCAACAATCACCATCAACTTTAACCTTTATACGAATCAATCAACAGCTTCATCTTGAACTATCCTCTATCACTATATATAAACTGCCAAGATGTGCTTGGTGGCCTTGTTGTTCTGATAGCATAGAAGGGCAGAGCTTGCAACTCCACCATCCCCGTCTCCATTCAGAAAAAAGGTTTTACAACCACTTTTGAGAGTTAGACAAGATTATACACCCACTGACCAGTATTCACCAACTGTGACGAGAACCCAGTAGTCTGCTGGCAAGCCTTCTTGTTTCTTTCTTGGATTATTTCCCCCTCTCTGAAACATCTCTACAACCCAACCCAACTCATCTGTTATCAACGGGACCCTGCAGCTTATTATCTAAGCTTTAGCCTTTTTGTTGGAGAGATTAGCTGATAACTCTGTGGTGAACGTTATAGCTAACATTGAGATTGGACTGATCATCCTGAATTTGACAACAAAGTTGAGAACCTTGTCTATACTGCAGGCAACTTCAGATCCACGACTCTGAGACCAACCCCACCAACTGAAGGCAATTTTTTTTTCTTTTCTCTCTCCCTTTTCCTCTACCACCTCCCTCCCCAACACCTGTTCGGAAATATGTCCAACAATCACCAACCGGAGCTGAAACCAGGCCACAAATCCTACCACAAACCTGTCGCCACGCTATCAAAAACAGGCCAATTGACCCCTGTCAAGAATTCACTCTGCACCGCTATTGAGAAGCAACAAGCCTCCATCTGGTATTTTGTCAAAGGGGAAAGTCCCCGCTTGTTCTGAATCACCGGAAGAGACCACCTTTTGACCTTGTATCAAAGACAAGCCGGCGACCGCTTCTTCCTCATCCAATTGGTGTTGGAGGGATGCACCTCCTAATGTTTTGAACGCTCATATGACAATGCAACTACTAGCCAAATTGAAGGCTCAGCAAGATGCTGACAGGATTTTTCATGATTGCAAAGGTGCACGGCTTCAACAAAGAGCCAACCTGGAAGAGCAAGCTTTCATTGCAAGCACGGTCACGGCAGTTGTCAAGAGAATCTATGATGACAATATTCTCAAGCCTGATGGCTCAAATCTCTGATGTTGGGAGAAAATGCTCTGCATGCACGGCATGGAACAATTTGGCAATGCCAATTTCTTCCCCCTGATGAAGACACTGTCATTGACAGCACTGACAAGAAGATTGGCCAAGGTGTCTTGAATTCATCTGTCTATAGATGGACTCAGGGTATCCACTGCGGATACCTGCCAGAGGATTTGGATTTGGGTGAAATCCTGGAGGGTATCCAGGTATCTCCAAGGATACCTGTCAGAGGGACCTGGCCTTGAGACCTTGTACAGTCTCAAGGCCAAGAGGCACAAATACCAGCTGAACACCTCAAACAAACTTCTGAAGAAGGCTATGTCCGCACAAGTTAGATTTCTTATACCTGTAATCTACCGCTGACCTGTAACCCACCCAATCATAAACCTCCTCAATTCAACAACCCAAGCAAACTCAAATACCATCATGGAACTCATCATGCCTATACCTGTTCATCAGTGGATTGCAATTGGATCTTTCCCTCTCAACACTTCATCAATCTGCATCTCAACAAAGTCCACAATCCAATTTTACAGATACAACAATAAAATCAGTAAACTAAGATCGTAAGAAACATCTTTTTCTTCTTCTTGGATTCTATCTCCAAAGGTTTCTTATGCTTTTCCCAAATGATTCAGTTCTGTTGCAAGAAATTATACAGTATTCCCAAGCCTAGGAGACTTCATCATCTCATAGATTTCCATTGGTATCCACAAACTTGAGCTTTCTTTCCTATTTATTTTATCCTAAAATACTTGGACCACTGCTGATTTCTGCTTTTTCAACTTTCTTGAATCAGGTTGTTCTTTTCACTTGAATGATTTATACATGAAATTTGGGTCAGGAGTATCCTTTGTCAGCCTCTATGCTACTAACCTGAGTGGGTTGTGCTATGAGTGTTAACAAGAAGTGTAAAGTGATGGTTTATTTGTGGTAAAAAATCCCTCAACCTGTAAAATCAACAGGGAGGAGTCAGTCAGGAATGTTACTTGATCTACTGCTGACTCATCCAATTATTCAATTGGGCATCCAGATCAATCCTGTTACGTGGATTAATAGGCTTTCAATGTGAGGAATTCTTCTACTCACTTGGGATCAAGTCTTTTAACAACAATCCAGATGAATAAGTGTATGTACACTTAAGGACCAGAATTGTTTAACCAGGGGGATAATTCTTTATGCAGTAGAGATAAGTAGAAATTCCTTGAATCTGTGCAAAGTAAATCTATTTAAGTCTAAGGTAGCTGGGTTGTAAGGTTATTGGTGGTTTTAATCACTAATAATCACGGTACCAGTGTTGGTTTGATGCTGCTAGAATTTTCTGGGGGGAAAAGGTAGGAATCAGGGCTCCTTAAATATTCTACAGGGGGCTCAGGGGAAGAGGAGAGGCCCTCAGGGCACTAGGGAGCTTATTAGAAGCTCTAAATTTTTGTGTAAACAAGGGAGCTGTAACTGTGCAGTGCTTATGCATTGATGGAAGGTCCTAGGACATGATATCATACATGCATAATTGAATTTATGGCCCATTTCTCACGTAATTGAAAGAGCTACAGCTACTGTGCAGGGGCTGTGCAATTGTATGGTTAGTTGCATACGTGTAACTCTGCTTATGCAAGCTTGTGATCATGAGAAATGCATGTGCTGCATGCATAATTTAGTCTTGCATGTAGAATTTGGGCTCCTTTCCCATGTAGGCTACTTTGAATTATTCAAGCTTTGAATTAGAGCACAAAAGGGTCCTGATGACGCTATCCAAGAGGGTTATGATGCAATCTGACGCCCTGATGATGTGATCAAGGATAGGTAAGCTTCAGATAAATTTATATAGCTTATTCCTCATCCATTTCACACTTCTACTAGCTGATTCTTATACATAGGTTATTAATTTATGTATTATAAAATATGTACCTAATGTATAAGAATAAATATTGTTTTAATAACTTATTCTAAAGCTATTCCTGTGAAATCCTAGTGATATTATATGTGCAATACTCAAGGGGATTTTGCAGTTAATTATAGAATTATTAAATATAAATTATGAATTAAGATTAAATGTAAATACATATTTATATATTTATTTATTATTTTAACAACAATGTATAATATTTTCCTGTATTCAATTAGTTATTATTATTTGCAGTTACTAGGTACATTTCACGTACTGTAAAAGGTGCTCTGTGGCTGACAAAGAGTGTATGTACACCAG